TCATCATCATCATCATCATCATCATCATCATCATCATCATCATCATCCGTTGTTACTGGTATATATTAGGATAGACCCTATATGTTTGTGAACCGGCCAGGCGACCTGCGCGCGGCCATCCAGAGCTATGCCAAGAGCTTGGAACTCTTCGGAGAGAAGACCACTGAGGCCCTGGTAGTTTGTTTCACCATGTTTCACCTGTGACGTGGACCCGCGGGCGTGTTCACGAGCGTGTGGGATGCAGCTTCAGTCGTGTGGGATGCAGTTTTGCAGACTTTTGGGGGATGCAGCTTCCGTCAAGGCCATTTTGCACGTCCATCTTTCGCGCATGTTCGATCACGTGATCGGCGTCACGGCAATCTTCCCTAGCAATCCGGTCGTACCTTTTGACTTCTCGGGTTCGGTACGACTGGACCCGACCCTGGCACCTACATGTCTCAGTGATTCTCAGTGTCTCCGTCCTCACCTAACTTGAGAAGGTACGAAAACTGATCCCAAACGGGCTTGGGAGACTTCCAACCTGCTCCCCGCTGTGCCTGGACAGGACTGCCTGGCGGAGCTGCCAGAGCTCCCGAACGCGCAACGACTGGAGCAGGTCTTGGCCACGGCGCGCCAGGACCCTTTTGGCGCGCGCCACGGCCGGGGAGAGGTGAGTTGAAGGCAGAGATTGGGGCCGAGTGATTTGTGGAGATTTGGGAGATTAACCTCCCTCCCACAATCATGGAAGTGGATAGCCCCTTCTTGGTAGAGGAAAGTAGTCTTCCCAGCTCGAGAGAGCCAGGTTTTGGGATATGTTTGGTTCGTGTTTGTTTGGTTGATGTTTTTGACCCTCCCCCACAAACATGGAAGTGAGTGAGCCACTGCCTGTTTTACGGCCATGCCATCCACTTACATGATTGTTTCAGGGAGAGTGTGTACATATATTATGTCTCTGTGTGTGCACCCATTTTTTGGAGTGCTAACTGGTTTTGTATACAAGGACCAGGGACCCTTTCCAGTGAGCTTTGCTTGACTTTCAGGGTTGTGGAAAGCAGACTTGTCCTCTATAGAGTTTTGAACACGTAGTCTGGCTGGACTCATTATCCCAAGCCTTTTAAGTCCTTTCCATTTGAGCTTTTCATTAGCATTTCTTGGGGTTCGGGGTGGCGAGGAGCTCGCACAGCTAGTGCACCTGGCAGAACAGGCGAAGGCTCGGGGAGCAGACGTGGCTGTTGGTGCGTTACACCTGTGGCCAAGTGCCACGATGCGGGTATGAGGGAGAGACCGAGTCAAATGGGTTTGGCTACGGTGTCTACCTTCCCTCTTCAAATGGGTTCGAACTGGGAGGTCTCACTAGTTTTTGATACACCAGACCCAGTTGGATATTTTGGATCCTTGCTGATCTCGCGGCACCATTCCGCTTCCCAAAAGGTTTTATCTGGTTCTCTGAGGCTGGAAGGGATTCCGAAAAAAGACGTCCTATCACCGGTGTCTCAAGGAAGTGGATGTGTGGATGTTTAGTGCAACGTCGCCCATGGGAGAATCTTCAAGAATCGCCCCATGAACTGGCAGAGATGCTTTGTCCCTGGTGGTTTTGCAACTTGGAAAGCCTGTTTTGCTTGCTTCCCTGTTGCAGGCATCAGCTGGATATGCTGAGGGCTGAGAGGCTCCTCTTTGTGCAGGCTTCACAAAGCAACACTGCAGAGCGTCGGGAATAAGCCACTTCAACCCATGGCGATGAATATTGTGATGTGATTTAACAGTTTTTGTTGAAAGACGTCCGATACATGACAGCCCCTGTGAAAACCCCATGTTTTGTCTCCCTGATACCTGAAGAGGTTTTTGTTGATACCTGAAGAGGGATCAGATGCCCATCGCAGGTGAAAAAACCACTGTCCCCATCGCATCGGACGTTGTGACGGACGAAACTGACGGCCAATGGGATCCATCGATCAACAGCGCCCAACGAAATTTACTGAAGCCTTGGTGCCATATTGGTCAAGGGATTTGTTTATATATATATAACTATATATATATATCAACGCATTACTACATCAGTTAAAAACCATTTGATTCAGATGGGTCATGGCCCAGGGGTGGTTAGTTTATACTGAAGGCCACCTACTTAATTCACAAACCCAGGGGTGGTTAGTTTATGCTGAAGGCCACCTACTTGGAGTTCGCTGCTGAAGGTCCAGTCTGCAAGCAACACATTGACTGGTGCAGGATTTAGTACCAACGGAACATCGTAGCAAAGCCTCCGCTACCTGCCAAAGCCCTACAGTATAGAACCTAAAGAGCATCTAGTAGAAATTGATGGTAGAACTGTAGAGCCCCAAGAGCAGCTTCCTTTCCCTTTGCCAACCGTGAGAATACATAAGTTGCTTGGGGGTCCATTGCCGTCCTCAGATCTTGGGCGCGGTGCAAAGCGCAGACCATCGCAGAAAACGCTTCCGCCGGTCCGCAGAAACTGACAGCGCGTTCCAAGTTTTGGAAGATGAGAGCGACAGATTGAATGGAGCTTTCGTTGAGACAACCACCGTGTCACACCAACCAAGAAGGTCAAGTGACCTGAACTAGGACCCTCATGACTGGGGTAGATGAACAAAATCGTCGACATGGATGTCTATGGATGTCGATGGGGTTCTTCAACCTTTGTTGGAAGTCTCGGTGGAATTTTGGGATATGTCACACCATGTGTTTCCTCCAGACCTATCGAAGGGGGAAGTATGTGGAAGTGGAAGGCAGAGTCAGTGCTTTCAGGAAAGTTGATTTTGATATGTTAGGATGAGTTCTGTTGGAACAGCGGGAACAGCTTCTAGCACCTTCCGCCTTAAAGAGACTTCAAAACCAAGAGGTTGATGCAGACACACCAGCTTGAATGATTGACTGTGGATGAAATTGGTGAACTCTTAAGACTCCCAAGCTCTCAGCCTGAAACTAATGTCACAGAACCTGGATGGAAACGGCGCTAGGACATGCGACGAAATGTGCAAAACAAGTTACAGCTACCAGCACCACGGAAAGAGTATACTGTAGGTTGTAGACACCCTTAACTACGTATGTTCCTTCCAAGAACCACCCTTTCTTTGGGTGGGGCTGGCATTATGTAATTCAATTATGTGGCTTTTGTGTTTCCCCTTGGGGTCTCTCACTCCAGCATGTTTTGATGACGTCAAACGCTAAAAGTAAGATGTCAAATCTCACCCGCCATGTTCAGATGGCTGTTTGGTCCGTTTTGTGTTCCGAACACGAAGGACTACTTGTGGACACCCTATTTATGGTACCATCAGGGCCCCATACCTGCATTAACCTGCATGAAACCACCCAGTCCCTGGATCTTGGACCCGGTCTCGAGCGCCATGTTCTCATGGGTGGTGGGTCCAGGTGGAGTGGGTCCAGGATCCCGGTAGACATGGGAAGCATGAAGAAACGGCTATTCCTTTGGAAAGGATTTGCTTTAGCGATTGCCCCATTGCCACACAGAGAGCCAGAGAAGTGCAACAGATTCTATAGATTGCTGAACCTTCATGGATATCTCAAAGCGATTGAGAAAAAGCAGGATCAAGCAGGGTGCCAAATGGGTGCACGAAGATACCCATACGACTGGAACTAATACGACACTGGTCGTCCACCATGGTGGAAGCACTACTGGACACCGAGGTCGACCTCGACACCGCCGCGCGACCCGCAGGTTCAGGCCGCGGATGTGGGGACGTGAGGTGCCCTTTAGGGGACCAGATGAGAGAGTGTAAAAACCCCCCATGTAAGAAAATTAGTATTCGCATGTCCGTTTTTCTGGAAGCATGCTCAATCCCCTGTAAAACGATAAGGAAGCAAAAAAAACGATAACCCCCGATGACTCTTGTGCAAAACCCTTGACATGCGAGACGTGGTATATGCTTGGACAGAGGTGGAAGGGCTTGGTCCGCTGTAGCCTTGTGCTGCAGCATTGTCGTGCCACATGGTTTTCCAAGTTGCACAAGGCATGAAAACGATAACAAAATGATAACAAAAACGATAACACAGCGAGCCTAAAACACCTTTCCGTAGGCAGGCCACCACATGGGTGTAGTTGGAATGAAGTGTGCCTAATGTATTCATATCTGCAAGGTTCCACACACCACAAGCATGTAGTGCACACACTACATCACACTGTACCTAAATTATAATGTTACTACATTTGTTGCAGTTAGTCAAAGTGTGTAAAACGATAAGGAAGAAAAGAAGACGATAACGTCAAAAGTGGTATAGGGAAAGGGGGGGGTTTTACACAACCTCAGATGTTAAACAGAGCTGAAGGAACCTCTTTACAAATATACTAACTACAAGATTCTATTCTATTTCTCAGCTCAAAAAGTCTGCAAAAAGAAGAACACAGACACACACACACACACACACCCCTTGTTGGCGCCTCGCCCACCCCGCGATCTCAGTTTTTTCGGCTTCAAAAGCGAAGCGGCTGGGGCGATCCGACCATGGCGAATCTAAGCACTGCCATCGCCCTGGTGCTGTACACTCTGCTCGTGATCACGACCGCCACCGGCCACCTTTCTCAAACACATCCGTGGACAAAAACGGCGGGGACTTTTTTACACAGCCGGGCTGTTTCAATATAGGGCTGTAAGTTAGGCTGCAGAGGGACCTTCCCTGCCAGTGTTGAAGCGTTCAGGATGTGAGTTCAGCAGGGTTCAGCCCCAAAAAAAGACCTTTGGCAAGGGGCAACCGTCATTGAATCCTACATGGAAACAAATTTGGATGTTGAGAGTTCCTATTGCAAGGAACCTGCGACACAAACCCGGAACCAAACCAGGCTAGATGACAAACGGTGGGCCTACCATAGACCCAAAACCATCCAAAACCATTCCAACACCTATGCGTTTAGTTTCTTTCTTTTTCCCTTTGGTTCCAATGTTGGGCCTTCTTCCGAACAGCAGGGCACCCAAAACATCGCGGCGGAGGAACGGTCCGTAGGACCGTTCCAGCGAAGTCCTGAGGTGGGTTGTGCTCCAGTAACTCGTCTGGCAGTTGCTCCAGTGGCTCCAACTTCCTGTTGGGGTGCCCAGATGGGTCAGTGTCGAGGTACTGCCGTGTCCGAAGGCTGGGCGAGCCCTAAACAAAGAAAAGACATCGGAAGAGGGTTTCCAGGGTGGTTTCCAGTCCTTTCAGTATTTATTTGACCGTATGTTGTACTAGGTGATTCTTCATCCAGGAAGTGCTTGCCAGTGTTTATGTTCCTTTTAGCTGAGGGTTGCTTGCACTCCGCATTCAAACATTCTAGCATTGGCGAGTGAAATATCCCGCTTTTTGTTTCTTCTACTTGCTGTGACTGGCACTGGCAAGCGTGTTGACATACTCCATGTCGGTGGGCAATGCTATACAATATGTTGCACCATGTTTAGTGCACCCGTCGTGCTTCTGATGAAGCTTGTTCAGCCATCAAACCTAGCATTCAACACCTCATGAGGATGATCAGACATTTAGACCTTCAGTCCAGGTCAAGATGATGAGATGATGTAGATATATATATATATATATTTTCCAGACTTCAGGAACTTGATGGAACTCGTGTTGTTTCCTCCCTTCCTGCCTCCAATCCAACCATATCCAACCACCTGAACAAAAAGTGTTCCAAAAAAAGACACCAAGTTGAGTAGGGATCCCGGGCCAAACCGCTCCACAATATCGACCACAGTCGAGTCGCTCGGGGTCTGAGGCAGTTTGCTTCGCGCTGCTGGGCCTGTCGCCGGTGACGTCCAGTCCAGTCGGGCCAGTGGAGTAGTCAGGGATGGCCACCCTACTGGCCTAACCAGAAGGTCTATCTTAACTACCCAGAAAAAGTGGGGAAGCTTAAATTAAGCTTGTGGAGTAGCTAGCCTTCCCCACCCAAATCCAGGTGGAATGAGGTCAACCTTGATTTTCCAGAAAAGAGAGTGAGAGGCTCCAGAGGTCAGTTTACTGCAAATGATCAACTTCCGTGATGAACCAGTTTGTGCACCAGAGGATGGTTGTAAGTTGTTGAAGTGCGAGTGTCGACCGTGCGTTGCCCCCTTAAATGACCACACCATGCCGGAAGTGTCGATTGGCAGTTGGCCAAAGATGGAGGGGTTGAGGCACATGTAAACATATTAAAAATCGCACAGCCCCCATTGGGTTCCTAAACCAACACATGCCGCAACATGCGCGGTTGGCATGTTGCATGTTCACCTGACACCTACAGTCCTCACCATTGATTCTTTGTGGATGAGGTCGGCCTTGCGGTCGCCCATTCGTTGTTTTCCCCAAAAACATCGAATTGGCCACTCCCCTCTCCTGCCCCCCTCCGCCAAGGAAGGGGCGGCTCCTGTGCCTCCTTCGAGGACTGGCCAGATGTGGACGGCGTCACCTGCGGCAACTGTAAAGCCCTGGCGGCTTGGACCTCTTGAAGGTGCAGGAAGGGCGCAGATAGGTTTGATCCGAGCGCCATCGTTTTTTGGAAGACGGAGGCGAATGAATGTGCCAAGGTGGTATGGAGATCACCCTAGTCTCCAAGGTGTTCGATGGTTTCTTGTTGGCGACATGTGCGAGTGCTGGAGGATGGGGTGTTTTCTTCACCACCCTCGCTGGGCGCTGGGTGGCCACTCCAATTTGGCTTGAGCAAAACGTTTCTATGCATGAGTGTTGCTTCAGAGGGGTTTTCTTCAGCATGACTGATGTGAAGAACCATTGCCGCAACATGAAAACTGCCAAGCAAGACTCCAAAAGCCCTCGCCTTTCTTTCCAGCCCTCCCAATCAGTCCCCAACCTTACCATCTTCAACGTTCAGTGCTAAAGCCGTCGACGCCGAGCGTGGGCCCAAGACGGAGCGCCACGCCGCGTGCGCCACGAAGTAAGCGCCCAGGGGTCTGCGTCTCTGGACCCCGAACCTGCCCGAAAAGGGATCCACAAATCCACCTTATATAATTCTCAGAAAATTCCATTCTCAGAAGGTACTTGGACCCATTTGGACCCTTCAAAAGCCATCAATCAACCCATCAAAAGCCTTCATGTTTGTTGAAGATCCGATCCGCAGCGGATCCGTTGGAACCTCGATGCCCGGGGGACACCGCGCGGGATGCCGGGGAACCCGGCGTGGGTTGCGAAGTGGAAAGGCCTTCCAGCCAGCTCAGCGCTTTTCAGGATGCTTTTCGGTTCGCGACCTTCCCTTTGCTGAAGTTGATCATATACCAAGGATTTATCGGTCATGAAAGGTTCTCTTGAGGTCGGGTGGTGACCTGAAAGAGAACGGCAATGATTCTGGGTCTTTGGGACCAGGTCCAGACGCGGCAGTTCAAGCGCTGCGACGACTACTGTGCCTGGTGGTGGGAAAGAGAAAATCAACGATGTGGGAGAGGGGTGATGGGAGCTATATGCCCACGAATGTCACGAATGGAGTAGTAGTATGTATATAGATGTAATATAGTATATGTTGTATGGCTCAGTGGCTTTAAGTCCCAGGACCCTCCCAGATGTGTTTCCGGAGTCCAGGTCAAGGCCCGGTTTCCCGGCACCAGGACGGGTCGTCCTCCGCACGGGCTGAGTGATGGGTGGAAGGACAAGCAACGAAAGCAGCTCCTACAGTAGCGTCCGTCCGTTCGTAAGTAAGGCCAGGAGCGCTCCGTTCGTGTTATGTTAGCTTCTTGCTAACATGGAAAGGACTGCCAGGAACTTTCGGTCTTCGGCGCCTTATTTTCCAGGTGCTGTCAGAGTTCATCCGACCATTCGTAGCATGTTGCCATGAGGGAAGTGCTGTATCTTTGGATCCTCGATGTTCTAGGCTATTGTTAGTTTGCATCACTGACAGTGGCAGACCTGGAGTCAGGTGACTCCAAACTAGCTTCAAATTGCAGATGACCAAAGATGACCAAAGAAAAGAACCGTTTAAAGGGCGGTTGCAAACCTCTCGGTCAAACTGAAGAAGCTCCGCAAATAAGTGGTACAAAAGGGACATAAAGGGATTGCTTTTTTGGAGACTGAAATTCGCTCGGGCATCTTCCAGTGGGCAAGAATCTCGCAACAAACCCATCAGAGCTGCGAGCTTACAGACTTCACAAAGACAGGGGGACTTCATTTGGCTGTGGCACACCTTTTGGACATAGGTTAGGATGCGTGGATTTATAGCTCCCGAAAGCATCGGATTGTCCTCACAAGTATATTCATTTGAATCTAGTCTTCTGATGTGTCTTGGCAAATTTTGAGAAACGACTATATTCCTTTGAAGTGATAGCCCCCTTTCTCGGAGCACACGACACCAACGCATGCCCCTCGTGAGGTGTTCACACATGCTGTTGATTCAAAGGGGGGCCCTCAGGTGCCAGCTTCAAGCACAAATGCGTGGCAGCTGCGGAGGAGAAGAGCGAGACCCCTGGCTGCCATTCTGTTAGCGCCGCGGAGCGAGACCTGGGTGCGACACGAGTGTCACCGGTCAACGTCCTGCGTGACGTGGTGTGACTGGCACGAGCCGAACGAAGGTGTGTGTTGTGACTGGTGGACCGAGGAGGCCTCCCCAAACAGAACCTCTTGGAGCTTCTGGACCTGAGGTGGACCACCATGGTGGTTCGGTGGTTCCTTCCAATCACTGGATGGGGTTTACATGGATTTCAACGTCGCTTTTGGGGGACCCTGGATGACATTTGGTCGCTCCAAGGACCTGCGAGGTAGAGAAGGAGTACAAGTGTGATGAGGTGCGACGAAAGGGGCCGCATCAGGTTGAACATTGAAAGGCTGAAATGTTGAGTCTCATATATCATTATATATCATTATATATCCATCATGATTGTTGTAGATATGTAGTTATGTAGGGTTTTAGAATGTTTTATATAGATGTTTTTAGATATGAATATTTTCCAGCTGTTTCTGGGTGTCCAAAGTCATCCAGCGCTTGGTGCAAAGGCTGCGAATCCCCTCCAAAAAGGTGTGGAGAACACGCGTCCTGTGCTCGGATTGCTTTTGAGCATTGGGAGATCTAGTTTCAATGGTGTTTGATCAAAGTTGAGAACCTTTGGGACTCGGATGTGGGGATCCACAGGTTCACCCAGACTGAATGCATGCCACGGCGGTTGGGGTCGCCAGGACATCCAGGGCACTTCGGACATGTTGTGCACCTGCGAGCGGGACACCACGATCCCGGAGGTGCCCGGTGAACGCGCCGCGGAGGTGAACGAAGAGGGGCTGAGTCCGCAGGGAAGAGGTGGACTCTTTGGAGGAAGAAACCAATGAGAACGCCTCTCCGGTTAAGATTGCTTATGAAGAGGCTTTGCAATCCCCTGCAATAGGTGGGATTTGAAGAGTCTACATGCAGATGGTTGCCAGATTGGTTGCCTTTATCGATGAACATTCCGAAACACATGCACCGGTGGAGGAAGGGGTTTGGAGAAGGCGCCCCTGCCCCTCAACCATCTCCACTGTTTGTCAGACATATTCAAGGCTGGTTTGGGGTTCATGTTTCGTCATGCTGTAGGGCAAGCCTAGGGAGGTTGGAGAAGCGTGCAACCCTGAGTCCGGACTTGCGATCGTGATGGCAAGCACCAGAAATAACTGACATTGGAGAAAACGGTTTCATTTGCCTAGGGAGTTTGACGTGCTTCCCATGCATTTGACCTTTGATCCTTCCCTCGTTCTTAGGCTTTAGCACCTGAAGGCCAGCATGGCATTAAGATCGCAGCAAACATTGGGATATTTTGCAAGTTGGTTTTCTCGCATGACTCATCACATCAAGCTCATGACTCATGACTCAACCTGGCTCTTGACATGCTTCGTCAGCTTGAAGGGAACCCAGACATCAAGACCTATCCAGACAACATAGCTTTCTCACGGTGCTCAGTTGAGTTAATCCTTGTTAATTCTTGTTTCATGTGCGTAGGAACAACTCCAAGATGTGTACACGGCATTTCCCCCCCAAGCGTTGGCTCGGTATAACTGATTTATAGTTGGGTTTCTATATTGACATAAGCAGTTGTATACATTTGACCCGTTGCTGGCCCCTAAATGAAACTCATGACTTTGTAATTGTTTCTTCATCTTGATGGGAACCCCGGAAGAGACCATACAGAAGTGGTCATTACAAGAAACATCGTACACCCAGCAGCACCGCCATGGCTACCGTGCACTCCATGGAAGATTGATGCGTTGGCACTTGGAGCCGCTCCATGTCCTCTCAACATTCTGATGAGCATCTCGGCATGCATTGTCTCTAGCCTTGTTTGGAGCCTTGGCCTTCCCCGCTCCATTTGGTTCGAGCCTTGCCGGGTCCTCCCCACTTGCTCCAAAAGGGCACAGATCCACAAAGTTTGTCATACTTCTACAGGACCCCCACAACACACATTGATTCAAAACCAATATATATAGGTTGGGTTTGGGGAAGCCTAATGCTGCCACTTTTCATGAAGAGAAATGTCCCCAGCTATGGGTTTCGTTCAATTTCCCCAAGGAAACTCATGTGGTTTTGCACGGGAACCAGGCAGGTAAGGAATGCCACACCGGGCTTTCTAAGAACGTAAGCACTGCGTCCGGCAGTTTGTAGCTGCCGGATGGGGCGCGCTGGATGGGCATCAGACATGGTTTCACTGAGTGGTTTGGTCTGTTCATCACACCCAGTGGCATCATATGACACCCAGGTGTGTCCACATGCCACATGACATCTTGTTTATGTTGTAAAGGAATTACATAGTCGACTGTGCACCGGTTTTTTCTGGACAGAGCACAGATGGACGTGGATCGTGACAGAAGACTCCAGTTTCACAGTTTACACCCTGGAAGATTAACATGGAACCTGAAAACCACTCAGCTGTAGAGGAAAGCAGTCTTCCAAAGGTCCATTTTGAGGTTCCATGACAACCTTCCAGGATGTACTGATTGCTGACACCTTGAAGCACCTGATACGTATATGTTATATGCGCGTGTTTATATATATATATAGATAGTGAGGCGCATTGATGAACACATTTATATACACATCAAACTCTTTCTACCACCAAACTCTTGTTCGCTGGGATTGACCAAAGAGGAGTAGCATTGAGAGCTCCTCCATCCAAGGGCATACTGTTGGGCATCGCTCAAGTTGGCCGAGTATTGATCTAGAAGAGGACGTGCCAGAAGAAGCAGGATACAGCAGCTTGGATTTGCGGCAGGTGTTGCTCTAGGATGGGTTCCTCCTGGAAGGATGTTTGCTGCTGGGAGATTTGTCCTGAGATTTCCTGGTTTTCAAGAGGCCAAGTTGAGGGGGAACAGCGCCTATAGATTCAGTAATTACTGTAAGCCGATTCTTTGCATCAACAAGGGGAGTGAACTCATTAGGTCACCCGGTTCTGCCTCCTACCCACATAGGTTCTGTCGCCACAGGTGGAGTCTCGTCGCCCAGTGGGGCTCCATTTTGCGCTTTTAGCAATGTTCGTAGGTTCGCCACCCCGCAAGGAATGCGCAATGCTTGAGGATTTGCTGGACAGATTCTTTTTCAATGTCATATGATTCATATGATTCCCTAAATGCTGCGACGGCTGCTGGTGGTTTTGCACTTGTTACTAGCATATTATCATGCAATCGCCGTATACGGATCAAGACGGCGATCCCCCACACAGTTGGTGGTGGTGCAACTTTGTGAAGGCCTAAATATACCTATATATATATAAATATGTCCCATTCAAAGTGGTTTTCAGTGCTCTAAATGATTTGGCCATCGAAACTCAAGGTGTTGCTGAGCCTGCCCAACCCAACCGCACGCAACGGCTCGTGGCACTCATCGCGAAAATGACGCCCACGACGCTTGGGACGGCGTTAGATACCGAAAAGCTGGAAGGAGAGGGTTTTCGCATAAGAAACTGTTGAATGAGTTGAAGTCTTGATTCTATGGACTCTTTTTGATGACTTTTTGGATGGCTTTGGATGGTTTTATGTGATTTTGCCCACAGCCCACGCACATTCAATCTCCGTTCAAGCAGCAGTTGAAACCTGGGAAGGTGCCAGTGGACCCCTTGGGGAACGAGAAAAGAGCTCAAAACTGTCCCAAGCTGTTCATCGCACGAACGTGTCCTCCTTTTGCCGGGAATGGGATGGGGTTTACGAGTTGGACACCAAAAGCATAGAACGAACTACTTGTCCCAAACAAGATTTGCTACCTTATGCAATTAGGACTTTCCATATATAAGTTTAAGACATATTTAAGAAATACGTACAGTATACTGGAAAATGGATTCTGTCCTAGAGGGAATACCTGCTCAGTAAATGTAGCTCCAACCACGGTCCTATATTCCACCAACCACCGGGGTACCCTCTCCGGGCAACGATCACCGAGGCTATGTGGATCCCGAATGGGTTTGGTTTTTGGGGGCTTAAGAGGTTCCAGATTCGGGACACGGAAAGCCCTCAACAAATCCGGGCCAGGAATCCGGACATTCTACGTGCAGCTCCAGTGGCCAAAGTGATAAGCTGCCTGGGAAGAGTCTTCTGGGCGACAGATACTGAAGCTCGGCGCAAAGAGTTCTGCGTTTTTTCACATGGTCTTTGAAGAGTGTAACTTACCCAGGCACTCCATGCAAGCATATTATGTTCGCCGACATCCTACATTGAGGTAGTTGACTTTGGTTAAATGTTGGCGTATAGTGTTGGATTGATAAGCCCCCCCCTCCCAGAATGTGTGCTATTTAGGGGCCAGAACAGAGCAATTCGTTTTTGTTTAAGGGGGTCAATCAGGAGAGGTCACCAAGACAAAATTTCTCCATGAGGGTTCATACTATATGATGGGTCTGGGAAGTGGAGGGTGTAAGGCTATAGTATTGAACAACATTTCAACAAACAACGGTGGACAAACAACGGTGGACCAAACATGACCAAACTAGTTGCGGGGGGTTAGTGTTCAAAGGCATTTACAGTAGTATTGGAAGCCCCTCGGCGGATCCTTTGTTTTTTTGCACTTTCCAGGCTTGCACAAGAGTGAGCATGTGCACGAATAAAATATGGATTTCAAGTTTGTCAGCGCTGTCGGCAGTTTTGGAACTCCATATGCAGAAGAGGTCGCCCTGGAACTCCGTGCTGTTTCTTGCCAGTTGATTCGATTAATAGAAAGTTGGTTCCTGAAATGTTCAGAGTATGGAAGTCCAATTACTTTGTATATCGTTCTACACTTCTACGTCTTTTCACCTTTCAATTCAACAGGGTCGGGTAGGGCCAACGTCCACTTGTCTCAGACAAAGGTGGCTTTGGCAAAGCCTGGGCGATTCTTGGTATGCAGGGTGTAGGCCATACCACCCAAGGTCAAAGCCATAGCAACATCCAGGTGGTAAAGTTCCAAGGACTGTTCTCCCCATGTAGCTGAGGAAAGAAGACTAATTCTTGACCACCCTCGCTGGCGGGTACCCCCATGGTTTTCACGGTTTAGGAGCCATTTCAATCTCCTACCGGGTGCTGTTTCACTAGCCCTGCGCCGTTTCACTTGGTTTCTCGGCACTGAGGACTTCTTTCATCTCAGCAGCTTGGACTGAGACGCAGCCGAGCGGCTAACCCTGGTCTCGTCAGAACGAGAGGGTGGTCTTTCTGCTAGAAAGCGACCTTTGCTAGAGTCTAGTGTCGGGTCAACACTTGTATCTTAATCATGAAGAGTCTCCACGAAAGTCACCACCCAACCTATAGTGCTGGGTGTAATTCTTTGTGGTTGTTTGACCAACTGTACTTTTTAAGATTATAGTCAGTCATCAGCATCATCATTCTCTTTTGGTTGGGTTGCCCAAGCAAAGCTTTGCCACAATTTAGAGCAGTGTGACCCATTTTTGCCCGTAAGCTGTGAAACGGCACGCCGACGTGTGCAAGTTCCATGTGATCTCGAGCTGAGTCTCCTGGCGAAACTTGTTGCACTGCAGACTGCCCAGTCTTGAACAAATAGGAAAACACACACGTCAGGAAGGCAAAAACGCAAGCAAACCATTTTTGGGTTGTGGACTCAGCACACTTTTATCAAAGATCGGACCGTTCACACCCAAGAGCCTGTTGGACAACCCATCTGAAACCACAGCTGCTCCTTCAAACCGAGTATGAAACCACCGGCTGGTGGGCGGAATCCGGAGCGAGTCGGCCGACGCCTTGGCACCCTTGACGCCTTGGAGGTCATGTCACCGAGGACTACGACGAGTTCTTAAGCCACAGCTGGCATGTGGAGCCTCAGATGCACCGGTGAACATGAGAGTCAATGAGAGTGCACGGGGAGGTGTTGGGAAGACGCGAAGACGGAATCATCTGCATGGCTCTAAGGAGAGTTGGAAGAAGGTCTTGCTGTTGCTCATGTTGAAGAATGGGCCTGCCTCTGTCACTGGGACTGGGAGCAGTTCCCTTTATTATGTCGGTTGATTCTATACTAAGGGTCATTTGTCGGATAGGCAGTGCTCGCGTGCCGATGACATGGCATGGTGGTCCTCAGTTCGTCACATTTACGCCGTGATTTGCCAGTCGTTTTTGAGCCATCTCACTCATGACTCATGTTCTGCGCTTTGTTGGAGGTCTTGTTTGGCTCTTTGGCCGCAGTTCTCATGCTGATTCTGTGGTACTTTCAGATCTTACCCAGCGTCATCAAGAGCCACGGAAAGCAGATGGGTCTCCGTCGGGCAGTCTGAATGAGTGACAGGTGTGCTGGTTTGAAACTTCTTTCTATTAACATCTTTTTGCAGGGTCTTTGGGAGCATAGCGGCATAGCCGCCGCCGCCGCCGCTGCCACGTCACGTGTGTCCAAACTGTTGGTAGTTACTTCTTAATAGATTCTTATATTTGTTAGCTTTTGTTAGATTTGTTTAATTTGTTTAGTGCAAGTATATAGGGATTGAAACACAACAGTCCACTTTTGCTGGGGTCATTCTTGTTATGTACTGATTGCCGATCCAGTCTCCAAGACTGTGGCGATCGGCCGGAACGGCGCCCGCCATGAGTTATCGGACTGGACGTGCGATGGTGCTGGAAGAGCTGCCCGAAAAAAGTGGATTCATCCACCTGGAAAAGATCCAGGGACAGCAGAGCATTTGCAGGGACAAACATAGCGCGCATCCAGAATTTGGCTAGTAATTATATGTAATTATCACGAGCCGTCCAAAAAATGATCAGTGATTTTGTGGGTGCCCTGGGGGAGGAACGATGTCATTCTATTGTTTCTCTATATTATGTATAGTTCCAAGTGTGTGTGTTTGTGTGTTGCAATTAAGATTCATCCATCTACCAGTCATTCTATGTCATAAGTATATATTTGCTTGCAGTATTCTGTGATTGTGCCTTTCCGCGGAAATCCTGTGAACCCGGATGACCTGAGCTCCTCTGCATCCAAGGAGGACCCCCGGGCCTGCCGGGTACATGGACTATTCTTTCTGGTGCTTCTCTGCGGCAGTCGTCGTGGCGTTGTTGATGTTGATTCTGTGGCGGCCCCGTGGGCGTATTTTTGTGGATCGCGTATGCATCAATCAGGCCAGCTGCCAGCTGGGCTGAGCAGAGCGTGAAAGGATCAACGGATAATGAGAGTGATAACGATATGAGATGAGGTCATGTTGGATCTTAAATGATCTTACATAGTAAACGGTCACCACCCCCTCACCTTCCCTACAAATGATTAGAGGAGAGTGCAGAGCAGGGATTGGGAATACTTGTGCGATGACTCTTTTTTTTGGAACATCACCAGGCAGAGCAAGATGAAACGGATGTTGATTTCTTAAGTTGGGGGGGGAAGACTTGGGACGTGTATGTGTTATTCATAGTGTGCTTTCTGAAAATACTTTATTTATCTTTATTTGTTTTGATAGTACTTGATGCTTTTGTGGATTGATCTCACCAGACCATCATGAAAACCGATTCAAAACATGAATAAAGACTTGAAAGCATGCCATTTCTAAGAAGTTCATTCAAGTCATGACACCTGTCATCCGACCGATGCGTCCACCGATGCGTTTGTGCGTGGGGGTACCAAGTGCAGATGGATGGTACAGTCGTACCAGGTTGCCTTTTGGGGTCCTGTCCATGGTCATGTCAATTGGTCATTTCTACGATGTCATGTCATGTCGTGATGTCGTTCGAGGCAAACTTGACGACCCGGCCGGGTCCGGGTCCGGCTTCGCCGTTTCAGACGAAGACCGCAGACCCCGCGGTCTTCGTGTTCGTCTTCGTCTTCGCCAGGCCGATGGGCGCATGAAGGCCGAAGGGATTTTGACCCTTGGTCCGAACCATCCGAACCATCTCGTCGCAACCATCTCGGGGGGTTGCCTCGTGTGCCCCAAACCGAATCCACCCGACCGAACACGGAATCGGCCGAAGTTCAGGTATACCAGGCGCCAGGAGCGAGTGACGTGACCCCCTTGTGTCACCTGTTGAAAGCCCAAAAAGGACCACGACGAGCACCCCGGATCGTGCCGCTCGCGTGACGAGCCGCTTGCGTGATGACCGGTCGCTCGGTAGCCGCGCGTGTTGGGGTCACTGCGCGTCCGAGCGGAGCAGCGTGTGGAGCAGCGTGTTTGCGTCGGGTCTCCAAGTGGTCGATTTACCACCCTTGAAGGTCTCAAAGGTCGGTGAAACTGCCCAGCCCACAAGTCATAGGAAAATGCATGGCCGGGGGGGGGGATCCAGCAAATGCGGTGACATGTGAATTTTTCTTGTTGTGCTGGGGGGGGTTGTTTGGTGAAGCGATTGAAGGATCCCGTGGGCTTGCCATTTTTCTCAGAATTTGTGTTGGTTTCTCTCATTGGTGCGACTCCCGAATGAGTGTGGCTGAGCCCAAAGGAATTTTTACTTTGAGTCTCCAAGTGCATGCAGAAAATGCATGTTTTTGTAGGGTCATGTCCCATTTTCTAGGGTACTTCGCAACGCTTCCCACATTTTCCCTAAGTCGCATCAGGCAGAGATAGTGGTGTGGAGTTACTCATCACGCGAAACTGACACATACTCATCATGTATCACTTGGAGTTTGTCGACTTGCAGGACCAATGATCTTGTTGTGGATGATTTGGGCTCTGAAGATTCTTGTGATGATTCTTGTATCACTCCGCTGTTTTTGTCTCCAGCATTTCTCAGGAACATTGGGGCAATGCTGAAGAGGTCATCGTCATTGCTGGTGATTTGGGACGAGTCCTATGTCGAAGCACGGCAGGTTAATTTAGAAATTTCAAGCTTATTCACTCCTACATACTCCTGTCTGGTGGTCTTCCCAATGGTAAACTTCACTATCCACTTGGACATCTACTGGAATCTTTGGAGTGGGGATGGGCGGCACAGTGGACGGCGCAGCTTGGAAGATACTGTCATCTCCTTTGCAGCTACACAGTGCAGAGGATATCGGCATCAGTTTTGCAAGCAAATGGTACAGGTTTAGAATTATGCTGGTAAGGAAGGGGTTCATCTTGGCTTTCTGCATCAGAGTCAAGGCCTTTCCACCTCTTTTGTGGCATTTATGATGTGATCCCTGACCATCCCTGGACACCTTTTTGATGGACCATGAGCTATACGGCGTACGGATATAGAATGCCGTAGATGAAGCCCAAAGGTCAAGTCACGCACCATGAGATAAGACCACATCGGTCAAGCACATGCACTCTAATTTAAAAAGAACACCAGTTATGTCGATGGGCCGAGGATAGGCTGTGGTGTATTTTTGAGCTGGCTGCCTTTTTACAAAGCCATCCTGAAGCTTCCGCCAAAGCTGTGCAGGTGCGCGGCCGGGTTTGATTATGCTGCTGATACATCTCACTCTATCGTTCATCCTGTTTTTATAAATTCCGTGTATTTAAATGTCCTGTATATAAATTGAGCGCACTCGGGTGGACCATTTGGACCATTTTGTAGGGAAAAGGCTGGTTTTCTAAAATCATCCTATTGGCCGACTGCTGCGTCATGCCGTCGTGCTGCTGTTTGTGGGCTGCGTCGGTTCAAGCAGTGGCTTAGTGGCCAAGCCTTTTCGATTTATCTTGGGTATGTTCCTTACCTGTACCAGTCGGCTGACAAGAACATCAGAATTACTATAGAATGTCGGCCTGTACTGACCATCATCATCCACTGGGCCCTGGTGATTGGATATATACCCCCCATGTATTTTGAGCAGCTGCGGTTTCGCACCCCAAGCTGAACGCGTTTTCCTTCGCCTCAGAATGCGCGTCACAGGTACGACCGGTCTTGCTGGGATTTGCCGCTGCCTCCACTGCGGTGGCGGTGCGCTGGACGGGTGAAATCCATCCAAGACCCCTCCAAACAGGGGACTTTAGCGATGGCCTCCAACCTAGTAGCGATGGCATCCAACTTAGTAGCGATGGCATCCAACTTAGTAGCAATGGCCTCCACTGCTCTCCAGGCTTAAGCCAGAACCTACGCATATTGCTGAGTCCCGGCCTTTGAGAGAATATATATAACCATTAGTGTTGGGGCCCACAACCCACAAAAGCAAACTCGGGAACCCATGCCCCAACTTGAGCGATCTTTAGATGATGAGCACTTCGAAGATTTCCGGTCGCTCTCCATGGACAATGGGAGGCGTTTGTGTTTGAAAAGGTTCCTTTTATAAGGCATGCTCACTTAGCAGTGGGTATGCCAAGAGAAACATGATCCTGAGGAGATGGCAAATGTGCCGGGTGGGCATCATTAACTGTCAATTTCACCACTAAGTGTGTATGATCATATGCAATCTCATGTATATGGTATACGTATGTATACGTCATAGGGCATTTGTTGTTTTTTTTTGCTTTTCTCAATGACATTTTATGGGCTTGGTGTTTATTGCGCCTGTAAACGGTGTTTTTCCAACCTGTTAACTTACTCGGTGTTTTTTAGACCTGTAATCAGTGTTTTCTGCGCCTGTGCCCCAGTCACGGTGTTTTTTGCACCTGTTCCACGGTGTTTTTTGCACCTGTTCCACTGTGTTTTTTGCTGTTCTGCGGCACCCTCTGTCGCCGAGCTCGTGCCTCAGAAGTTTTTTTTTGACACGGTCTGTTGGCTTGTAACGGTGGAGTCATGACTTGTAGCACTGCAGTTTGGTCACATTTGGTCTGATGCTTTTCTCTCGTTGCAGGCTGTTCACCGGCACCCTCGGACACCGAGTTCGTGCCTCAGAATTGCTCAGACAGGCAGTTTGTTCACATTTGGTCTGATGCTTTTCTCTCGTTGAAGGCTGTTCACCGGCACCCTCTGTCACCGAGTTCGTGCCTCAGAATTGCTCAGACGTGTCCGTCCGTGGTTGTCTTGAGGCCGGCTGTTTTGTGCATGCTGGGCTTATACATGTTTGGTCCGTCGCAGCAGTGTTCGGCTCTCGTTGGTTTCCTGCTTTGATGTGCGTCCATGTGCCGGAAGCTCAGTGCTCCTGTTGCCTGTGGCTGCCTCATTTCCACGGCATCACACGTTCTGCGGTCGTCAGGCGCCAGGGCTCCTCGATGGGCAGATGATGCCGAGTCCTACACGGAGGCCTGGCTTTTAGTTGCCGTGAGTTCGCAGGCTAGTCGCGCTGCTTGGCCCGAGGTGTTCGACCTTGAACTTGACCGCTACTTGCACAAGTTCTGGGGTTGTCGTTTAACAGTGCAAACACCTGCCGGTTGCCCAGCCTCGCACTGTTCGTCACATCGTAACAGACAGCTGTCGTGTCTTCGAGGTGGGGTGGATCACTGTGCCATACGACTTCACGAAGGACATCTTCGCAGAAAGCATTTTTGCTTTAACTTCGCTTTAGCCCGGCGCCCTTGCAGGAAGTCACGCAGACACCGTCCGCCGTGGTTGAAGCCTTAGCTCAAACAGTCAGTGAGCGACGTGTCGTGCCAGAGTCGTGCCGTCAGCAGCGCAGGTCCCAGCGCGGTCTCGAACCAAGAGGAGGTGGTGCGTGGTCGATGTCACTATAGTCTTTGCACTTTCGCTTTGTGATCCAATGCCTTCGTGGGATAGGTGTCGTGCTGTTGCTGCCGAGCACACTACGGCTTCGAAGGTGCATTAGCTGTGCTGCACTGGCTGAACTCGGCTTCGCCGTCCTTTTCGAACTTTTGTTCTTCCAGGACGATGCCTTTCTTGAGTTTGCGTGGCAGCAAGCCCAAGAGGCTCGGTATAGGTCATGTGCCGTGTGTTCTGTTCCCATCATTCCTGTTCCTCTTGAGGAGTTTCCTTCTGGGCTGTTTTTCGCCCTGGGTTGGTGCAGAGGCCCCAGACAGTAAACAACTGCCGGGTTCTGTGAAAAAAAAATCTCAGGCGACGCGCAGCATCAATGGGGTCGCCCCACTCGAGCCTGGCGACGTTCGTTGATCGCGACTGCGTCCAGTCCTTGAGTACAATGTGGTTTTTGTTACCGCTGTCACCGTTTCATGATGTCTCAGGTTGCGCAGGATTGCAGAGAGCCGCGCGACCGCGCTGCCACTGGAGCTGGAGGTCGGTTGTGTGATCGGCTGTCACGCAGCATGCCGCTGTCTCCTTGTATAGAACTTACCCTGCAGGCTGTCCAGCTTTTGTGCGACATGGGCCCAGATGTTCCCTTCGGAACCACTGCGGCGTGGGGCTTCACCACCTTTCGCTGGAGTCTGTCACGGAAGTGTCGCAACCGAGCGGCTCACATCTCCAACGGCAACACGGCAGGCAGGGTCGGTGTTTTGTGTTGGCGAATAATAAGTCACTGTTTTGCATCCTGCTGGCGCAGGTTTCCGTCTTCGAGGCGTGTTTCCGAATGTGTCCGGCACATCCTGCTGGCTGGCTAGTCTGTTGCAGTCCATGTTCTCATGCATGCCAATAGTTGATGCCATCTCCCAACACCAACAGACGAGACATTGTGGCAACACTTGCTGGCAATGCGCTTTGCGCGAGTCGCACACGGTGAGCTGTGCGAGTGGGTCTGCAACCGATTTGGAACCCCTGTGGAAAGAACCGTTGCGTGCATTCAAGCTTGGCTTCGATAGGCAGCAAGATCCGTTAGAGTTTCTGGGCAAAGTTGCTGAGCGTGACCGTGACCTCGGCGTTTTGAACATTCTGTCGGCGGGCTACCGGCAAACACGGCGGCATCAGCTGCAGTGCCTATGTCCGATTGAGCTTCCACCACGTGAGCCATTGCTTACGCCACATGCAGTCGTGCTGCTTTCCCTTCCGCCTTTTGATGAGACCGCTGCCCTGTCTTTGCCAGATTTGTTGCTTCCGCAGGAGAGTGAAATTCTGGATGGCGGTTTGCCATGTCCACATTGCAATGTCAAAAGTGCATTTCATCAAGTTTCGTCGTGGCACCTGGGAAGTGTTGCGCTTTTGCAACTTGTCCGCGAAACAGGTCCTGGCCTTCCTTTGAGCCGCACAGCTGTGTTTGCGCCGATCGAGTTTGAGCATGCAAAGTATGTGTTCCGCCTTCGGGCAGCAGTGCTACATCGAGGAGAAGCCTTTGACAGCGGCCATTACATTGCTTTTGTTCTGACGCCAGACGATGTGTGGGTGCAATACAATGATGGAGCCGTCCCAAAGCGTTTGCCCAAAGAACCGCAGCATCTGCAAACACACGGACGGTATTTCTTGTATGAGCGAATACATGCAGCTCCGTCTCCGATGTCCTCTCCACGCAGCGCGCCGTCTTCTCCCAGGTCCGAAGACGCTGACCAAGCTGGCGGCTCAAATTCTTCAGCCGAGGTGGGCCTGAAGTGAGGGTTCGTATAGTCCATGTGTTTGGATCAACATCATGTAATAAGCTTTGTCACATGTGCCACGTGTTTCAGGTTCACAGCTTTCAGTCTTGCTTGGGCCAGGTGCACGCAGGTTCCGTGGAAGAGCTGGACAACGATGGTTCTGCGCAAACTCAGCCAGATTCACCGCGGGAATTTATGCCTGGAACTCATGGCCATGATGCCCTGGGCGACCACGCCTTGCAGCTGCTTGAGCTGTTTGAAACTGGAGGCGATTGCCACGCTTTCCTTGCTGACCTTCCGCTGTTTTCACCAGACTTGGACGGCTCCCTTGACAAGCTTGCCGAGCACTACCAAGCGCAGGTGGCCGATTTGTGTTTGGACAAGGTGAACAGCCACGCTGCTCTCGAGATTGTGCCCTGGATCGGCGACACTGTGGTCTACCCCTTGGCTGTCTTGCTTGAAGCTACAGCGCGAGCCACTGCCATTCCATTAGTTTTCTGGATAGATCTCGTGCAAAGTTTCGCAAATGCAGTGCTGCACAAGCGAGCGGGCGTGCAGCTCACTGAAAGGTATCACACCAAAAATCGGTACTGGATGGTTGGCACTGCCAACGTTGCCGAAGGCAAGTCTCCGGCAATGACACCTGTGGTGGAAGCAGTGGAAAAAGCTTTGCACCAAAACACAGCATTCACTGTGGGTTCGCCTAGCGATCAGTTCCATTTGCAACAGGGCAGCACTTCGGCAGCGGCTCGCGAGAAGCTTCGCTTCTGCGACGGATATTTGGCCATTCATTCGGACGAAGCTGGCGCTTGCCTTTGCCCCGCTTTCGCAAACGGAGGTGCTACCGACCCATCCAAGTTCATCGACTTCCAACTTTTCTTGAACGCGGCCCACGGCGGGTCTTTGGATCCGAGAGCCCCTGTGCCAGAACCTGCTGGCCTTACCTTGAAAGAAACCAACCTTCACGTCATCTTTCTGCAGCAGGAGTTGTTTCTTTCCACTTGGTGGGCGCCTGTGGCTGCCACAAAACCACTTGGGCTGGTCCAACGCTTTCTTTTTTCCTTCGGGGCTCGGTTGAACATGGGCAAGCAGTCCTGGAACAGTTTCTTGCGAGATGTCACTGTACCTATTCTCGAGCAAATCTTTAGTGCCATCCTCCGGCGGTTTGGGCCTCATGTTACAACCCTTTCAGAGTTTGTTTTTCACACTACGCAAGCACAGCGTGCTGTAATTGTCGAGCTCGAAGAAATTGGGCGCCTGTTTGCGCGAAAAGATTCTGTGCACACAGTGTTTCGTGAAGCCATGCCAAAGGCTATGTATTGGCTTGGAACAGGGATTCTCACTAATCACCTCCTTGCGACTTTGTGGCCGGCGGGGCTGCAACGAGACATTCCAGCTGATTTTCCGATCACTGTCTCCAACCAATGTTTTGCTGCGAGTGTCCAGTTCATGCTTAAACGGTATCTGTTTGGCCAGGCCATTGTTAGTGTCACTTCCAAAGAGCAAGCTTGGCTGCATCGCCGAGCAGATATCGGCGACCCGGAGGATGACTTGCTCCCCTTGCTGCTTCGCGTTCTGCGGGCAGCGCCCGGCTCGGCCATCACTTTGGAGCATACTTTTTGCGCAGATCTGGCGTTGGAAAGAAGTCTCGAGAAAGGTTCCAGCAGCGCTGCAAGCCTTGCCCGCAAACGAATTGCTGCATTGTGGGACCAGCTTAAAGACCTGGGCCTCGGCGAGCTTCGAGTGTCAGGTGCTGCTGTCCGGTTCTGCAAATACCATGTGGCGTCGCTGTCGCCTGGTTGCTTGGATTGGCTACGGAAACACAGGGTGCCTGTTTCTCATTTTGGAAATCGTTCGCACGTTGATCATGCAGCTTTTCTGGGTGCGTGCCCTGAAAGAGGTCTCGATGTTACGGATGTTCACGTTAACGTTGTTCTACCTGCAGACAAAGACAACGCAGTGGACCCTCGTGCGTCGGAGCAGCTACCTTTGCAAAGTACAGCATCTCCTGTTCCAGTCTCTTGTCCAGAAGTCCCCATCTTAGGCGGCAAGCCTCCATCAGACAAGCCAGCAGCAAAGCGGAAGACAAAGAAGCCAGCTGTCGAATGGCGAGACATTGCTCGGGTGGATCTGGGTTCGCTTCTACTGTCGAACCAGCAACTTCTGCAACACCGTTGGCAAAGACCTGAGTGGGCTGACAGCAGGGTGACATTGAAGACGGTGTGGCAAAATAAGGAACGTATTCTCACTGAGGTTCGATGTGTTGAAAGTGAAGTGTGTCCTTGTCGCTGGCGAATACATCCTCGCCAAAACTTTGTACAACCCGGGTGCTTTGATCATTCAAGCATCCGGTGAACATTCAGGGCACGGTGAAGCCCCTTGTGCTAGTGGTAAGATTTTTTCTCAGAAACAACAGGGTATTGCTTCCCGCTTTCTCTCTGCAGGTGGTCGAGGTGCCAAAAATTTGCGTGTGGCACTCATAGCTGAGGGTTGTTCAGAAGCATCTTTGCCCACCAACACTCAGCTGGCAATTGGTTGCGAAACAACAGTCGCAAAAACAAAGATACTTTGAACAAAGATAAAGCTGTTGTTGCGGCAGTGGCTCTGGAGGTCGGTCAGCTGCCGCGAAGTCTTCCAAAGCAAGTCGACGCTATGTTTCTGTTGTTGGGGCCCATCATCACTGATACTGAGGTTTGTATACTTTTCGGTTGCTCTGGAATGCTCAGCACTTTCGACCGCTATGCTGGACAAGATGTTGCGTTGGCTGTCGACACAAAGATGAAAGTATTGAATCGCGGCATGGGGGTGGCCACGGCCAGCTTACTAGTGAAAGATCAGCTGAGAAAGACTCGTTTGCCCAAAGCCGGCAAAGGTTCTCGGACCCAAAGCCGGGCCTGGACCTCGGATGGCATGCCCGTTGCGCAGGCGATCTTTCATGCAGAGACAAAACCCAACTATTGTCGTCTGTTTCGCATTTGCTGTGACTTGTGGGCGGAACGCCAGCCACGGAGTTTGCCGTTGCCAGAGCAGCGAAGCTTGCAAATCCATAAAGATTTCCACCCCAGCACGGAAGAAGCTCGTCGAGAAGTGTTCCCACATTCACGGGCATGCGACGATTTTTTTCACTTCAAAGAAAAATCGCACACCGTCATGCAGTCAAAGTGTCGTCACGTTGTGCTTCGCAATGGTAAGCATGTCAAAAAGCATTTGCATTATGCTTTGACTATCATTGCGCTGCTTCGGTTCATCCCGACGCTGCCTTTGTTCAGCTGGTTGTGGAAAGCTTTTTTGGCCTCCTTGCGGCGCATGGATGAAACGACTTTAGCCGACTGGTTGCAAACGTACGAGCGCCCCTTGCCTTCGATTTTTTCCGAACAAGCGACTGGTTTGCCAAAGAATGTTTCTTATGTTAGCTTTTGGGTTGGCTTCGATGGCATCATCCCCGGCTCTGGCAGTGGCAGTGAGCCTGCAGAAGCTTTACATGGCGCGTGGCAGACGGAACTGGCTTCTCTCGGCGGCCGTGGGGACATCAACCATTGTTTGCACGCCTTACAAAACCTGTATACGAAGCATTGGCAGGACTGGTATGCTTGGGCAGAAGCTGCACCTTTGTGCTTCCAGCCAGCCGGACAAGACCCACAGTTAGTGAATGGCACAGCTTTGGCGCGAGCTGGGCGCACCACGGCTGCCAACTTCTTGAAATTGCCGCCGAACTCGTGCTACCTCGTGCAACAATGCTCAGATCATTCCTGGGTTGCTTGTGCAGCCACTGCAGCAACTTCGCCATTGAATCGGAGTGTGGCGCAAAGCGTCTTGCGGCTGCTGATGCAACCAACATTGCTGAGCGCGCGCAGCTTGCCCGACTTGTTTGACAGTTCTACAAATCTATCACTGCAATCCTTCCGTGTGCACTTTGATGATGTGGTGTACGTGCGTGTGCGGCCGACACGTTTGCTTTGTTCTTGCGCTGCCGCCGCTATGCACAGCCAGTGCGAACATTCCACCTTCCTTCGCAGCTTGACCTTGCCGAATTTCCCTGCGCCGCCGCTGCTTCTCACTGAAGTTCCAGAGCCCCGCAAGCGCACAGGTCGTCGCAAAGTCTCTGATGCCCCACCACGCAAGCGACGCCGACGTCAAACTTGAGGATAGTCAGTTCGCTTTCTGTCATCTCGGTGTTTCGCGCCGCTTTGCCACATGCGCATGCCACCAGCTACAAAGTGTTGCCGCCCTGCTGCCACTGGAAAAAGACCGTCTTTCTCGAGCTCTGCGAGTGGCCAGAGTACTGCGTGTCTTTGTGTCAGCATGCGCGAGCTTTAATGTGATTAGTATTTTGCATTGTGGCTGTTTTGCTTTGCAAAGGCTCGACTAGCATGTGTGAACTCTTCCTCCTCTTTTGTGGTTCATATGCTTGCGCAATGTCTTGCAATATGTTCTGGGCCACTTGGTCGTCGAACCGGTCGTTGTGTCAGGTACAGTGCGGCCGTCAGTGGGTTCAAGCAGGCTGGGCTGTCGCGGAAAGACATGTCACATAAGTTGTCACGTCCTTTCGCAAACAAATCCCAAAAGCTAACCTCTACGATCATGTGCTTGTTCACCTTTCAATCCATCACCTGCTTTTTGACCATTGCAGTGCATTCTTGGTGTTCTCACCCACGATTGCTGCTGCTGCTGCTGCTTCTGCGATCGCCGCACATGCTGCTCCTGGTGCTGCAGCAGGTGCTGCTGCCAACCGGTGCAAAAAACACTGTTTACCGGCGCAAAAAACACCAACAGGTGCAAAAAACACCGTTTACCGGCGCAAAAAACACCGGTGCTGGCGCAGAAAACACCGTCAACCTCCAACAGGTGCAAAAAACACCGTTTACAGGCGCAATAAACACGGAGCCCACATTTTATTGTGCAAAATGTTACTCCCTCTCGACCACAGCGGGGTGTGTTTGTGCCTCGTGGGCAGATCATACTGGCTAGCATCGCCTTCTTGTTCGTGCCCCTTGACAGTCCCTGGGTTGTTTGGTCGATCCTGTGCCCCGTGGCCCTTTGGTCCAAAAAGCGCGCGTTCGTCAACGCGCGCGACGCGTGGACCCAACGCGCTTTCATTTGTTCTTTCACAGGAGGGAGAGGTTCAGAAATGCTACCACAGAGGGGGGCGGAAAAACAATTAAAACCAGATCTTCACATTTGGAAAAGCTTGTGGAATTTGGTGGGCTTCTTCTAATGAAACTTTAGGCACATGAAGAAGTCGCTTTCTGAACAGGAACGCTGAAACAGCTGTTTCGCTGTTGTGTTTCGGCCTGGACGGTCCGGGTCGTTTTCGCCCCGGACCTGGTGAACTTCACCTGTCCGAAGAGTTCCGAACCTGTTGGGGTAGTCGAAGGGGTTGACTCTCAGTCAGTTTGCCCCTGAGGGTGACTGGAGGGTAGTCACGTCATCACATCCGGCGACAGGGTGGGTGGGAGGTCAAGAAGACGCCGAGTTCGAACTGGTGGCATCAACTCGAAACGACTGGTTTGGAATCCACCAGGCTAAAACCATGCAAAGCCTTGTCACAGTGCGTTTGAAGCGTCATGTAATTAGACTGTGGATGCCAAAAAAAGACTGTACCAGAATGGTTTTTAAATGGTTTTAAATCTTCATATTGCTGTCACAGCGTAGTGTGACCGTACCGCGTGGGGAAGGTTCGTCCGATCCGGAGAGCGAAGGGATTTGGACCGATGAACCATGTCCCAGACACGAAATGATCCCAAGTCAACCATTTTTCCTTTGGACCCTTTTTCGAGTCCGCGATCCGCCCGCAGAAACCGATGGGGTCCCACGAAGGGTCGGAGCCATCTCCAGCCTTCGCCACTGAGGTGTGCGGTGAAGGCTACGTCCTGATTTGGGCCTTTAGGAATTACTTCCGTGCGCTGGAGTCCGCGAACCGTTCCGTGCGCTGCAGGGTTGGAGTACTGGGGGTGGCAACATGTTTGGAGTACTGGAATCTGCGGTTCTTGGGTGGTTCATGGAACCGTGCCCCTGTAGGAATGGAGGACCTCCAGAGCTGTAGCGAGGTATCATGAGGTACCCAGCACACATGGAGTTGGGTATAGTTGGGTGGTGTTTTGTCCCATTTAGGGGCCGTGGATGTGACCGGGGTGCCCCGACTTCCTCCATGGATAGCACCTCGTCGAACGTGATTGTTGGAATGTATACATTTGTGAGTCACCTGGTGGAGTAAAGAAGCCCCTCCAATGGTGTAGCTTTGAAGCATTTTGAAGCATTTGGCTTGATCATGACGAGGAGGGTGTACCTCAGGGCCAGGGCCCTTGGGGGCCCTGGGCCCCACAAAGAACCCGTCCTTCACGTCTCTCCTTCAGCCACTCCAAGGCTCTTTGCAACACTTTCGTCTTCAAACGGCTCACTGCTGGTGCTGTAGTGCCCCTTGGCATCAGATCGATTTCTCCTCGTGTTTGCACCGTTTTGGTCGATGCGTTGACCATCCAAAACATCCAAAACCTCGAGCGGCCGCTTTCGAAGGAACACAAAAACCGTCCCACGTGACGCCAAACTGGCGACAAGGGTCGGAGGAACCTGGATGGAGTTCGACACGGGTGATGTTCGTGGTGTAACCCGCAGACAGCCACTAAAGTTTCGCGCACCAGTGAAAGTTGATTTGCTGGTCAACACTGATTTGCATTGGTTTGCGGAGGAACTTTACTACTTGGCCAATGGATGCAATGAACGTTTCCCGCACACACTTAGACAATGGGTTTTGAACCAGAATCCACGTCAAAACGAACGATGGAACCGAAAGGCGGCTGAGTCCAGTGACTTGTAGATTTTAGATGTTTCCAAACAGTGTTTGTGCACATCTGCAGCAATTCAACGACAGTGCACGAGCGGCTGAAAGCGGTGTGAATTGTTTTGGAATCTATCGTGCAAGAACCATGAAAACAACAACACAGCGGCCGAGGGACACCAGTGGAGTCAATGTGTTGATCGCAGGTACAGGAAACTGGCCAAGTTTCCCTTCCCACTCTTATCCACAGCTTCGTCCCTGTGATAGGATAAGAGTGTCACACGCCCCTGCGGATGGTAAAAGAGTTTCGGTCGAAAGAACTCCTGGGGACGGAGGGTGGCACACACACACCACACCCACACGCGCACGCAGAGCGTCACACACACTGACACTGGCACGCGTGCACGCGAACAGTATGGTGGAACAAGTGCACGACTTGGCATTTTTCCTCTTGTAGTTGTTTGCCGTGCGTTCCTGTCAGACATATGTATCAGAAAACAGGCTGTGGCACTACAGTAGAGGACATTGCATGAGAATTCCCGGAAAATTCATCATCTTTACAAGCCGTGCTTTTCGACCATCCCAGTTCGACCTCTGAGCCTTGCTAGGTTGACCATGTGAACCCCTCGACGGGGCAGAGCATCGCCGTTTGTGATCGGGAGATTGTCCGCCAGTGCGTGGCTTGATTGCGGAGACGGGCGGGCCAGTACAGATCTGGATTGGTCGGCCGATCCGATGGGGATGGGAGTGGCATGGTGGAACCATTCTGAACATGGATGGAGCAACTGAGCACATGGAAGGAGTTGCATGTGACTGGAACTGGCACCCACACTTCACTAATTACCTGGAGTCGACCTGTTCGTACGTCGGACAATGTACCAGTATATATAGCAATTTTATACTCCTTAGTGAAGTGGGAAACCTGTTCCTTTACAAAACAACTCCCTCGCGTGTTAGAAAAATTGAAACAAGATATGAAATCCAAGAGCGAGCCAGCGGAGAGGCACAATATTACAACAAAAGATCATAGGCTCACTTCAGGTGACATAAACTTAACAACCCATTTTATAAACACCTCACCCTGCCACGGCAAATCGTATTTGTGCACACCCTCCCACAAAATCAATTTTATATACTCCTCACCCCGCCAAGCCCGTTCGTGTTTTTCCACGCCCTCCCAGGAGAAACACTTCAGAACCATCAAAACTCACCTAGAACCTGATCGACCCCCCTGTTTTGGAGCCAAAACAACGTCTTTTCATATCAAAACACAGATCAAACCGGTTCTAGGCATGGACAACATATCAAAAGTTTACATACCATTTATTCATGGCAAAACCCATTGATCGGATCAGAAGACCTTTGAGTAGGTGCCAGAGCCTTTTGATGTTGGAACTGCATGATTAAAACATATGACAGAGTTCCCACAGTTTTGACATCAGAGTTTTTGTGGACATGTGCATTCATATATATAATAGGTTTTACATATTTTTTTGATGACTTCAGTTCTGCGGTTTCTCATTGTTTAACTAGATCGGTTCTGCATTTTTATAGTGACCAACCCTGACTTTATTATAAACCTGCGTCTGTGTTTATAAACCCAAATTCCGCCCTTATACAATACAAACACTTCAGCGGGTAGGTATCCACACGTTCAAAACCAACTTCACGCCATTGTGACAATTGTGGTGGCAATTTCTGGCACTTCCGGAAAACGATGAACCACTCAGAGCAGAGCTCCCAAATGCTTCCCCCTTCATCCCCTCCCCCCGGCGCTGCGGCCCTCCGGTGGTTCCGCCAGGTCACGACTTGGTTCGGCTCGGAGGACGCCTTCGATGAAACGGTGCGCTCCTCCGTGAAGCGGGCGCTGGCGGAGCAGCTGGGCGTCGACGCCTTTCCCTACGCCGCCCGATGAACCAACGGGTCGACCGGGGCAGAGCTGCAGGGTGACGGGTCGAGGCAGCACCATCCCCGATCCAACGAAGGATAGCATATGCCATGGATAACATGCATGCCGATGATCGTAGAAGTGTAAAGATGTGTCATGTCATGAAGCATCGTATTGTTCGAACTCTCATTTTAGGCATCTCTCCGCAAGCGCGCATACTCCAGCGTTGCCGCAATTGTGAGATCATATGATTTGGGCCTTCCGGCGCCCAAAAGTGTTTTTTTTCTACATATGTTCCTCTTCAGAGCTTTTCAAGGCGAACAAGGGAGCTTTCTAGAAGGCAGTACTTCAAAGTAATTCTATTTGTGGCTTAGGCCACAGATAAGCGAGAATGTGAACACTTTTCTTGGCCCAGCTTTTCAAGAATCTCCACTCATTTGCGAGATCTTCTTTCGGTGAAGGACCTGATCCGGGCCGGTTTGGTTGGAAAGCGTTTGAGCATTCAATCCTGGTCACCTAGGAACATCAGTGAATCAACCTTGCTTAAGTAACATACGAGATGCCACCGCAGATCATGACACGTAGAAAGATATAGTGATGCATATATGTCCATCATTTCATGTTCTGAAGACCAGACTGGAGTGAATCTAGTAGAACACGCCCAAGCCCAACCTATCGGCTGCTGTGCCTGGCGCTCGCTCATTTCATCGGAGATCCGCCAACCGCGCTCGTTCGTACTCAGGTCTGGGTGGTGTCCTCAACTGTACCTTTGATTTGGGTGTGCATGGATGTGGCTCGGTCCTTAAACCGAGCTGGAGGGGCTGAAAGCACTTGAAAAACACTGATGCCTGGATTATCCCTCAAGGGTGAAAGCTGTCCATGAGGCCTGTCCAAATACCAGCTCCTTGCCGCGTGTGTTTTGTTGTTTGGGCGGGCAATGCGTTGGCGCAAAACGCGCAACAAGCGATGCCTATAGTGTTTTTGCAGGAGTTCCTGTTCCGAATGGCATGCAGTCGCTTTCATGGGGAAGTGCTTGTCTCAGGTCCAGCAGCTTAGAATTTGCACCAGCACCACCCAAAAGATCCAAAGGGATCCAAAGGGTATAGTGGTTGGATGGAACCTGATCACAACGCGGTCAGTCCTGACCATCTGTGACCACCGTCCGGCTGGGTGCGGACTGTCAGGTGCGGATTCGATCCGAAACGGATCCGTTGAGCTGAGGCCACTGTCAGCATCGCAGCAGAGGAGCACGAGCGAATTCTGCTGGCCTTCATGGTGCTTCGCTGTCTCGCCTGGTGGCCCTTGGGCGGTCTAGAACGAAGTCTCATGAAGTCTCCTTTTTGTTGTGGTGCGTGCAGGGCTGACGTGTATTTGATGATTTTGTTTGCATGGTCTAACGGATTTAACCGTATATAATGTATACCAAAATCCTTGACCCCAACCCCGGGATTTATTTTAAAAATCCCGAAAATCACGTACGTCCAGGACTTCAGAAATCACCAAAAAAAGATTAGGCTTTGAAAATTGATCGTTGGTCCAGAACTTCAGAAAAGCATGTTAAGTCACGGTACTACTGAACTTAAGGGACATATGGTAGGTTAGACACAGGATTCTATAAACACATGTTTATCTTTAACATGGAGGTCCTTGTGGGTCAAGGTCAGGATTTTAGTTTTCTTTGCCTCTATCCAATAGACATCAATAGAGTTGGGGTACATGTCGTGCTCTTCTGCATATACTGCATTTCTCTTCCGTCGATCGGTTTTTTCCGTCGATCGGGTTCATGTCTGATGTCGTGGACAGTCGGCAATGATTCAGGGGGGCGCAGTAGAATCAGCAGACCAGAATCAGCAGATCAGAATCAGCAGAATCAGCAGTTCCTGAATGGAACTTACACTGACACCAGACGTGACTGATTAGCACACAAAACGTGACAAGATCTTGTTCAGTAGAGACACCAGGGTCAATGCCAGGATTTAAATAAGACTTGTAACGATACTTTGAGAAGGCCGAGTGGCCTTGGGAGAAGGATTTTAATAAATGGTCGGTCAAGTAAACCCGAAGTCTTGCTTCAAAAAATGATGTCCAACCTCAGCACACAAAAAAATAAGGAAGTCACCTCAGTCCGAAAGGACTTATAAAATCAATCCTGGGTTCAACCTTTAAGCATTATTCAAGGGATATTCTATTTGGTGCCATGTTTGGTGTTCACCGATGTGATCGTATGTGATGGGCAGTCCCAATTTCTTAAACAGAAACGCACGCTCCGGTCGGCGATCCTTTGCCGTAGTTCCGACTTCGGATGTTGCCGGGCCCGAAGGAATCCGAAGCAGATTTCTGGAGGGCTTCTTGTTCCTACAGTAGATGGACCAAATATTCAAACCCATGTGTCAATAACTGTCGCCAACCCCTGACCCCCAAAGGTCAATGTTGAACATAACTTGATTGAATTTGCGTTTGAATATTTCGTCCATCTACGGTAGTAGCGATGCCAGGAGCCCCGAACGTAGCGTCCTTGCTCCTAGTTTAGTAGTGAGGCCAGGAGCCCCTGGTAGCTCTTTGTTCCTATATATAGTGGTAATTTTATAGTTTTTTGCAGACTGAAATTGATGCCGTTGGCATCCTGCAAATAAAGACGCCATTTGCAATTTCTGCGCAAACACCAAGCACCACAAAAACAAGAACGCCTATTTTGAGGTTTGTGCTGGACTGGATAAAACTCCACTGGAGTAAGGTGAGCGAAAGTCAATAAGAATACCAACGCCTTTACCCACTGCGGCAGTGGACATATTGTTTTAATTCTGCTCATTTTTTAAGTTGAGTCAAGCATTGTCGTGACTGGAGCCTCCAAGAGTGTATCAGTCAGGTGGACGGAAAAATTATGCATTTTTCCTGCTAAAATTTGCATTTGTTCCTTGCACAAATGCCTTTTCCAATCTTGACAACTCCTGTAAACTGATTCACTCATGCCATCTCATGCCTATTTTGTTCAACCATGTTTGGTACAGGTGGTTACTTTGCCACATTTTGCCACAAAACCCAACAGAAAACCTGCAATCCTCACAAAATATGCCGAGCAGTTTGGCCAACGGGGATGTGCACCTGCAACCACCATGGAAAGGTAGCAAAAATAGTTTTGGGCCATCGATGGCTTCAATCGGGAATGAGCAGGCTGTCACAGGCCTAAGCAAGAAACTGCTCCCCAAAAACACCGTCAACAAAACAAAACCGTCCTTGCGACTCACTCAAAAGTCAACTTTTGCCGGTGCACGGAAAAAGGTGCCTTTTCGAGTCCAAGGCTATTATTTTAGCATACGTTTGCCATATTACCGGATACTAATATACATTGGGGTGGTTGACTTGGGGTTGATGGTAAATTCCAGTCCCAATGCCCTAAGTCTGATCATCAATAGCTCGAGAACCGAGGCTTTGGGGCATTCCCATCGTGGCCACACTAGGGCTCACCGCAGCGCGGCGCTTTCACGCCCCCGGCCGAAGCTGTGTGGAAGAGCTTGGGAAGAATCTCCTGGTGCTCCTGGCAACTCGAAAGCGCAAAAGACGATTGCATGTTTCGATGTGTGTTTTTTTTCATGTTGTTTGTTCCATATATAGATCATCCGTTATTTGGATGTCTTAATGTTCTTGGGCAAGGCCACAAGTCGAACGTGGGTGTTCACCGCACCCTCCGAATCCATCCGTTCATGGCCGCGCTGCGCTCCACATGGAGGCGGGGGTGGCATCCCCGTAGGGCTACGGATGTTGAGGTCGTGGCCCCCGGGGCTGCTCTCTTGATGGCTTGGCACGTTGGCTTGGAGCTGGCTTTCGGTGCCTTGGACGAAGCTGAGCAAGCTGGGAAGATGGTGGAAGGGTGGAGAAAACATGAGGGGACGATCGGTACATGTGGACCAAAAGGCTTCCATAGGCTTCCGAAATCATGTTGCCGTAGTCTTTGCACAGTATAGGACGTGGAAATACGTGGAACACCTCTTGGTGGCCAAAAACGGCAGATCTCAACCCAAACAAATTGCATCAAATGACATTTCCACGAACGATCTTCCAGGATCATCATCAAATTTAAATTCCCCCCCCAAAAAGGCGGAAAGCATGATCCAGAGCGGTGTGTTTGCCTAACGGTTCTCTGCATGTAACTGACGAAACGGTCGATTCAATTGACATGTTGCACAAGCACACACTTATTGACTTAGTCATAGTATACGTCATGACTTACATCGAAATCGACTATTTGTCATGCACTTCGCATGTTTTTTCATCATCGAACAATCACATCAATCACCCAGGACTTCGATCAGATCAGTTGACAGAAGGTCCTTCTTCGCCTCTTAGGGGAGTTCCAGCTAAGAGTGGAGTTGGAGGGTGGCTGCCCTTTCGGATATCCCACTTTTGATCCACCAGCTTCTTACCATTTGTTTCTTCAAACACCTCGGAAGCCTTCAACTCAGCTTTCAACTAAGTTCAGACGCCAAGAGAGAGAGAGAGAGAGACTCTGGGAAGTGGAGACGAGGAGGCCCACAGGCACTGCCCACAGTGTCACACGGCCTTTGCAATAAGCAGACCTGTCACCCGGCTTTGAGGCTGGTTTGCGACTGCTTGGCTGAGCGCTCCGCAAGAGACCTTAGGCTCCGTGGTGTTCGCGGCCGGTTGCTTTGTAGCTCGGATCGGGAGTCCGGGTGTGTTTCAGTGGTCAGATCGCCCCAGAAGGGGTGTCTAAGAAGAAGAAGCACCTTCTTATGGGGGCGTCCTGGAAACCACCCCTTAAATTGCGCAAGTTGATGTGCTTGTCGTTTTTGGCCCACGGGCACCATAGACGACATACATACAGCCCAGTGGCCAAATTTCCCACAAGGATTAATGCACCCAGGGCCCATCCAAAGGGAGGACACATGCCTGGCAAGTGTTTTATATCATCCAGAAAGAGGGGATCATCATTCCCCAGCTGTTTTTTGTTCAAAATTGCCATCAGTGACCTTTTTGGGGTTCAACATGTGGTTTGGGTGGCGAGTTCCCCCTTCATCCCGCTTTCCTATATATTTTGTGGCCAAAGATGGCCAAAGAAAGGTCATGTTGCACTCAGGTGTTTGCTTGGAATAACAAGGGTCCATCAGAACCCCATCAGGTGCTGATTGCAAGCTCTTCCCCACAGCACGGCCCCAAGGTAGCCTTTGTTTTGGTGCGGATTGCCTACCGCTGTGCCAACCGGCGCTACATGGAAACCGTGAATGCGAGCACGTGACAGTTTGGGAAGCGACGTTTTCCAGTGGCTCAGGTGATGCCTTGGAGTCACCTGAACAAATCAGCACAGTTTACTACGCTGGGTCCAGTTTGGTTTGATGACCGGCCGATGTGTAGACCGAACAGCTGACCCAGCCGATGCGAATCGCACAACTTGGTGAGATTTTTGATTAAGACCCTAGCCTTCCAAGACCAAAGCATCGTGGACCTGCATGGCTTTGTAGTGCAAACCAATGGTAAAACGATGCTTGTTCGGTAGAAACCATTCAATCAATGGTTGGAATATGTTGGAATTCTAGGGTTAGAGGTCAGTGCACTCGCGAAGCGACCCACTTGTGGGTGAGCAGAGCGCGTTTTTTTTGAGCGTGAATCGGCCATTCATGGAGGTGTGGATCATCAGAGAGTACTATGAAAATGGGTGGGGAAAGTGAAAATAGAAGGTCGGGGAGTCGATCGCATAGGTCAGATTATGGTCGATTGATTACTACATCTGTCCCAGGTGCGCCATTGTTCAATACCACTCTGTCCTGCGCCATTCTGAAGTCCTCCATGCGACCAAAGCCTTTGCCCTTTTTACCCAAATCCCATGGGGGATTTGTTGCTCGCCTTGGCTCCTGCGACTGATTTTCGGATGGCTGCAGACAGAAAAGAGACCGCGTGGCAGGGTGGAGGACGGTTGACCAGCGGCGGTCAACGGCACCCAACCTTTGAGGATTGATCAGATGTGAGAGTAGAGTAAAGGATATTTGTATGTTAAGTCCGTATATATATATATATATATGAGATTGGTTTCATAGTGGAATTTGTTTGAGGCCCGTGGGGTGGGTTTCTAGATGCATCCAGCTGGGTGATTGGTGAAATCAAGACACATGGAAGTGAGGATTCACCGCCACATTGTTGGAAAAACTAGGATTTTCCACAGGGTCCTCTTCCCCGGGCCTGCGAGTTGATCAGTGTGATTCGAGCTCATGGTCCGGAGGTGCTGTGTGTTCTTTCATTTTCCATGCGTTTCATGCAGCAAAACAACGGTGTTGATACATGCTGGAAACTGCTGGTGCATGTTTCGCCCTATGTAATTCGATGAATTGTTGATGCTGTGTTGAGGTGTAGCGCGGTGATATGATGTGACATGTAATGCATGTGGTGCAGGGCAGGGTTGTGTTTTCGGCTATGTGAAGTGTAGTGTTTTTTTAGATCTTTTCAGTGTGAATTCAATGGAGTCTTATGCGATGCCGATGTGGCCAAATTTGTTTCGCACCACATTCCAATCATTGTGCACCGGCAGTGTTACTTCTTAATAACACTGTCAACTACCTGTGAGGATTTGAGGTTTAGGAACCCTGCCTCCTGCAATCTCTTGCGCCTGCCTCTGTGAACTCGAGTGAAAAGGTAACACTGGTGCAGAACTATGATGTAGTTCATACCCAATTTCATACCCTTATGTTTCTTGCTTCACACCACCCTCCAGCCACCGTCGGCTGCACTAGGTGCATCATGGTGTATTGAATTGCGTTTTTTTTTGTTTTATTTTTC